CCTATGTCTGTGAGCTATCTAGTGACACACACCATGGCATAAAAGATAGTGACTGTATAAGAGTCACTGCTTCATCACAAACATTTACAGGGTTTGAAAGATATGGGAAGGTAATGAATGGAGTTGGTGTAAATTAGATTTAGCTATATTTCCTTTTCTTATTTCCTATCTTTAATTTCCTTGGCTTCCTATTTCTTTCTTTCTTTTACACTTTGTATCACACTGTTTACCCTGAAGGAAACTGCAGGATGAGTGTGTATGCACGTACACGTGTGTGTTAGGCACTACTGCCCACTGTCTCACTGTTTGTGGGTGACCAGAAAGGTAAATCAATGTTTCTTACTTTGTTCAGGATTGCAATTGGCTCTTTGAGGACAAGGAAGTGTATGAAGATTTCCTGTTGCATTTGGGATCAGTCCATTATATGTTTGGCCCTGACTGGGTCTTGTTCTTAGGTTATCACATAAATTTAGCTCCTGGGTGCGCCTTCTGTCTGCCTCCCAAGATGCTGCTCTTAAGCAATATCAGAAATGTTCATTCTTTTAACCTGTTCTAACCTGTCCTGCCTTTCCTCAAAGAAATTTAGTCTCTCTTTTGTTCTCATAACCAAATAGTGGTTGTATATGGTGAAGCAAGCTGTACTTGCTAGACATAAAGAAAGCATAGCCTGTAGTCTTAAGCTGCGTATGATATCCATATGAATATTAGTAAATGTTTATTTTGTTAGATTAAAAGCAGAAAGATCCTCATGTAATTCCTTCTGATCACATTTTCTTATCCTCTTATTTATTAGCTTTTAGTCTTAAGGATTATTGCAAAATCAGAATACTACTGGCATTCTGGGAAATGATTAGCAACAGGTTTGAGGAGGCCCAAAGACTTTTCCCGCAACAGCATAATAATGCAAAATTGTTACACCTTCTGATTTCTATACATCTTATTATGGCTGCCTGTTACTGTATATAAACAGTACATTACAATGGAGTACATCATGAAGGAAAAGCGAAGTGACAGAGATCCTTTTGACAAACAAAATCCTTTCTATATAGCAGGGTTCTTCAAACTTGGCCCTTTTATGACTTGTGGACTTCAACTCCCAGAATTCCTCACCCAGCGTGCCTGGCTGAGGAATTCTGGGAGCTGAAGTCCACAAGTCATAAAAGGGCCAAGTTTGAAGAACCCTGCTATGTAGCATGGGTAGAATATATTGTAAAAAAAAATCATGTTGGGATGAAAGTCCTACTAAAGAATGAAAATAAAATTAGAGGGAATGCGGATAGGAACTAAGCTGATTATTGCTAATGTAATTACTCCCCACCCCCTTTCCTGTAACTTCTTTCTGTTTTTTTAGCAGAACTTTCATTCCGATTTGATTTTTTTTGTACATAATATGCTGCTTATGCTATATACAGAGCAAGTCTTCCCTTCTGAGAAGGCCAAGAGCAATGCAAGTGTTACCAAATGACTATACCCATACTTTTAGCCAGATGTCAGATCTAAATTTGTAGTGTGAGTGATGCCTCATGCTCTTCCTGCTTACTGGGAAGCCCCTGTCCACCATTCAGATCATCCACACATTACCGCTCCTCACTTGTTCTCACTCACCTGTGTCAGTCAATTGCTTACCTTCTCACTCAGCTTTATTACACACTTGTACATCTCTCTCACACTTTATCGATGCAACATCATTCTATCACATGTGGTGCCTATTAGTTGGGACACTTTTCCCCCATATATCTTACAATGTCACCCCAGACCATAGGCCCATGTAGATAAGGAGTGTGTGTAATGCCCAAATAGACTTTTGCCAAATACCAGTCAGAAAATCATACTGTATGCCTGCTTTCACCTGCCCAAGCCCAAATGCCCAGGGAGATAATTATGAGCGATCCTTTGTGTCATTAAAATACCTGTTTCAAGAATGGGTAGCAAGGCATCTTAAAGCCAATGTCGTGAGGACATGTGAATTAGATCTCTAGGAGAGAAAAAAAACTCTGTCTTGTTAAGATTGGTGTGATGCACAGTGCCACAAAAATAGGCTGCAAAGCTCTTTGAAATGGGCCAGTAGATTTTTAAGAATTCAATCTCTTTCTAATTACAAACTGAGTAGATAACATTTGCATCCTGACATCTACAAAGGGAATGGCTCATTAATTAGCAAGGAAGGAAATGTCTGATTTAAAGAGGAGGAGCTGGAAACCCAGTCGTTCCTTTAAAAGCATATTTTCCCATTGGCCTGAGCCAAGGGAATGCTCAGTGATTTCTACGCACACACCCCACTGTGTGCACAAAGGGCATTAGGCTTCACTGAGTAGCTTTATTATCATACATTAACCTTAACAGTGTAGAACCTTCTTTTTCCTGGAATGCAAGGTTAATTAAATCTAAACAGTCTTGGCCTTTCCAAGACAGAATGGTCAAAAATTATAATGGTTAATTAAGCCCTCCTTCTCCCCTCCTACCAGTATATAGCATCCATTTCCAAAGTAGGATGTTACATGCAATTACTGCAAAATGCAACTGAATTACAGTGTAAACTCAATCCTGGTTCAATGGCCAAATTATACCTTGCACTGGAAATTAAAATAATCCTAGGGTTTGTTTGGGCATTTGATTTAGTTTACAGCATCTTCTCAAAGCTGGTGCTGTCTAGGTAAAACTCTAACTCCCACAAATAGGCCATGCTGATAGAAACATGGATCAATGTGAACTTTTTTCTTTCTTTTTTAATGTGTGCCTTGGAGTCAATGTTGACTCCTGGTGACTCCCTGGATAGGTCCCTGCACTCTTCTTGGCATTGTTTTCAGAAGTGGTTTGTTCTTGCGTCCTTCCTTGGGCTGACAGAGAGGAACTGGCCCAAGTTGGCTTTGTGTCCAAGGCAGAACTAGAACTCACAGTCTCCTGGTTTCTAGCCCAGAGTGGCTCTTGATGGGGACTACAGCTGAACCGAAATACATTGAGGAAAACATAAGCAAATGCTAGAGGGAAGGCCTAGCATCCACACGCTTCAGCAGTTTCCAGCTTCTAGCTGCCCTGTTAGAGTCTGCTCAAGTTAACGCCTGCTGTGCCTCCCTAGGAATTGCCAAGGAATCCTCTTCCTACAATGCTGGCAAAAATGGAAGGATCTGTATATGAATGGAAACACCAGTACACATCTCCCCTCCAAATGTGATGAAAGTTGTAATAAAATAGATAGAAGAAGATTAGTTGGTGGTGATAGATAGATAGATGGATGGATGGATGGATGGATGGATGGATGGATGGATGGATGGATGGATGGATAGATAGATAGATAGATAGATAGATAGATAGATAGATAGATAGATAGATAGATAGATAGATAGATAGATAGATAGATAGATAGATAGATATCAAAAAGACATAATGGCAGACAATCATAGGGCTACCATAACTGCACTTCAGAAATCCAGATGGTCACACTGGAAGGCAGAAAAAGATACCCCCCAAAAAAGTTAACTCTTTCTTGTCTTGTTACAATTGGCTGATTTTTGCAGCCTAGATCTGCTAGCCCTTACATACAACACTGTACTGAATAGAAGGAAAATGTGTGCAGAAAATATAGACATGAAAAAAGAGGTCTTCCATATTATATAATACCGGTGGTAAGAAAGTGTACATGAGGAAAATGCTCAAAAATGAAAAGCACTTATGCATTTCAGACTTAGAATTCTTTTAAAATGACAGACTGGGGCAAGAATGAGCTGAAAGTATCTTCAACGTAGCACACCAAGAAACTATTCAAGGCTGACTAGTTTGCATCCTTAGCTACCACTCTGATTTCCCACATTCACACATAAAGCACCGAGAGGTGGCTGCAGCAATTTCAAGATTGTCCACTTACAGCTTTAGCTGGAGTATTATCATCCCTTTCTGAAAACAGCAAACGGTCACCATGACATAAACCCATCTAAACCATATTTACTCATATTTGATTTTTTTTTAATCCTGCCACAATCTTGTGACTCTTGAGGTTACTACTGCCACAATAAAGAGAACAACAGAATTAAAACAACGTACAATCCAAATTACAAACGCACAACCAAAGTAGAAGAGAAAAATAATGAGATAGTCCAAAGGTGTTACTGAAAGGTTCTTCAAAAAAAAAAGTTCCATTTTTAATCACCTCTTAAAAAAACTTACCCGGGTTTGGGCCAGCCTGAACAGCCTGAACAGCAACTTTCATCTTTGGCTGACTTCCCAAAAAAGTGGGACAACATGAACTCCTTCTTTACTATGAAACCATGGTGGCACAGTGGTTAGAATGCAGTACTGCAGGCTACTTTTGCCGGCTGTCAGCTGCCGGCTCAAGGTTGACTCAGCCTTCCCTCCTTCTGAGGTCGGTAAAATGAGGATCCAGATTGTTGGGGGCAATATGTTGACTCTAAACCGCTTAGAGAGGGCTGAAAAGCACTGTGAAGCGGTATATAAGTCTAAGTGCTATTCCTATTGCTTACTTGATCTAACAGACTGGGCCATGTCCAATTGGGGAAAACAGTTCTTTAGGTACCCTTGATGCACTTTAAATTGTACTTGGAACTGAACTGGTAACCAGTGTAGAACATACAATACAGCCCATAAAGTGGTGTACTAAGGTGATTATGCAACTGGACCATACCGGGAATTCCCCCCCCCCAAGTTTTAGGAAAGGGCTTTGGACTTTTCTTGTTTTGTAAACTATGGTCCGCTACATCACACTGCGTGGCACACCTTGAAATGGCAAGCAAATCACAATATCATTTTTTTGGTCATGTGTAGAAGAGCTCTCTGGGATATGGGAAAGAAACCAGGATTTGCAGCTGCAGATTGCCCACTCATAGAGACAGCTTAACCTGCTCCAATGTATAAATGTTGGCAGAATAGCAATTCAAACATTTCCCTGATTTAGGTCCATTTAATTACCAGTTAAACTCTGATAGTTGATGATATGAATCAAATATGAATGCTCTGTTCTCATAATTTTACCATAATTTATTCCCTAGATGATGCATACTTACTGCAGGGACTTAATATTGAAGAACTTTATCCTGAAACCTCTAGTTTCATTACATATGATGGGTCCATGACAATTCCACCCTGCTATGAAACAGCAAGTTGGATACTAATGAACAAACCTGTCTACATATCAAGAATGCAGGTA